AGCAGATTGTTTAGCACAAGTAGTTAACACCTATTTTGAGAGACCATTCAAGGTGAAGTGGCCTGTTAACTCCCCTCCAGTCATAGGGAGGAAAAGGGAGGGGGGAAGCAGCTGTGGGGGGCGGGTTAGTGGGTCACCGATTGTTGTAATGAGCCATCAATCCAGTGTCTCTCTTCAGCCCATGATTTTTAGTGGTTTTGGAGATATTCGGGTTACCTCACAATAGACCCATGCCCTGCAGCGTCTGGGAGTGGGACACAAACCGCTCGGACACAAGTACACCTCTACCCTGATATAACGCGACCCGATAGAACACGAATTCGGATATAACGTGGTAAAGCAGCGCTCCGGCGGGGAGGGGCTGTGCACTCCGGCGGATCAAAGCAAGTTTGATATAACACAGTTTCACCTATTTGGCTCCCAAGGACAGCATTATATCGGGGTAGAGGTGTATGTCTTATGGCCTGACATTGGCAGAGAGCAGCAAACATGCTGAAGGAACCACCTCCCCATGGGGCCTGTACACCAAAGCTGGGCTGCTGATGCACAGGGATAAGTGCTGTGAGGAGGGGAGATAGACTGAGACCCTCATTCCCAGGGAGCTCATTTTGTAAGCGGAGCTTTCAGAATTCAATGCCTAGTGACATGGACGTGTTTCGGAATGGGAAGCCAAGCTCTAATGCCTGGGATTTTAAGCTAGACAAATTCAGAAGGGAAATAAGGTGGAATTTTTTTTTTTTTTTTTTTTTTAACAGTGAGGGTAATTAGCCATTGGAACAACTTACTTAGGGACATGGTGAAGACTCTGACGAAGTGGGCATTCACCCACGAAAGCTTATGCTCCAATACGTCTGTTAGTCTATAAGGTGCCACAGGACTCTTTGCTGCTTTTACAGATCCAGACTAACACGGCTACCCCTCTGATAGGTGAAGACTCTGACCTGAAGCCTTTAAATCCAGACACGATATCTTTCTGAAGGATTTGCTGTAGCTCAAGTGAAGGTTAGGCCTTGATGCATAATTTACAGGATGGAATTCTCCGGCCTGTGCTGGGCTGGGAGTCAGACTAGATGGTCATAATGGTCCTTTCTGGCCATAAAGTCTGTGAACCTATAAACACGGAAGAAGCACAATGAAGTTACTCCACTTTCTTAAATGTCTGTAGTTCTCTATGAAAATACCTGATGTCTACTAAAAAAAACACTTACTGACTATTGAGCCAGTATGAAAGTGTCCTGTGATGGCTCCTGTAGTTCCAGTTCTGCTGCACTTACAATGTCTGCCGCGATTTTAAATTACCTACTGAACAAACCCGTTAAAGCAATGCCAAGGATCTGCTTTATACCCATAAAACTGAGGGGGGAAAGGCCAGATAGGGCACTCCATGGCTCAGGGGCCAGACCGGGGGATACAGAATTTCTGGGCGCATGGGCAGGTGCCGAATGCCATCGCACTCTGACATCTGGTCCTGTAGTGAGGTGCAGGCCACTTCAGGGGACAGGCAGAAAGCAGCCCCTCTGGTCCACCAGGACTATAGTGCTAGCCTTTGCATGGCGATTGGAACGGGGGGAGTGGACAGCTCTGGGTATCCTGTAAACCTAGGCAAGAGCCACTCACAACCTGGCCCTTTGCGTATAGAAACGAGCTAGGGAGCAGATTTCTCATTAAGATCTTGAGCCAGTTCTCACACACTGATGCGGAGTTCCTGAAAACCCCAGCCTGGGCTTTCAAAACCCCCTGTTCCCCAGCAGCCAGTGATTTGAGTACAGCTCAGCTTTCAAGGAGTTTGAATGGATTCCGCAACACTGCTGACTGGGCTGGAAATTGTAACCATGCAAAGCAGCCAGCTTCTGGCTAGTGGGGGCTCCCTTTAAGTAGATGCCCTGAGGGGAAGGATAGTAGAGGTAGGGTGTTTAAACAGCTTTTCACCAGTGAGCCAGCAAAATGAATTAATGGATAATGGCTGGCATTTAGGGGCTTAGTCTATTGTAAACAAGTTTTTCAAGCCCCAAACAATTATTGCCAAGCAGGAATAGCTGAGGGAGAGCAAGAGAGAGAGGAAAGATCTCCACTGAAATAGGAAATTCGTTTAAAAAGCAGATTGGCTTTGTTAGTGAGCGGCTGGGAGGCCAAGTGTGGAATCTGAAATGGGCCCAACAGTCTCTGCGTTCCACATTGCACAACATTCTTTCCATTAACAACCGAAGATCAAATTCTCTCTCTCTTGGGAGCAAGGCATTGGCCTTTCCCTAAACAAAACCTTTTGTCCCTTGAGCTGAGGCAACATGAAGTGATGGTCAATGACCAGTGTCCCTCCAGCTCAGTACCAAATAGCCTAAATTTACTATCGCGAACAGTGTAAACAACAGTAGATTTGTGTTTAGTAATCATACCTCTTCTGAGTCTATGAGACTTGTCCAAGTGTTTAATTCTGCAGGATGGAGGGCAGTTACTAGTGGAGTTCCCCAGGGATCAGTCTCGGGACCAATCTCATTTAACATTTTTATTACTGACCTTGGCTCAAAAAGTGGGAGCATGCTAATAAAATTTGCGGATGATAAAAAGTTGGGTGGTATTGCCAATATGGAGGAGGACCGGAATATCATACAAGAAGATCTGGCAGACCTTGTAAACTCGAGTAATAGAAATGGGATATTTAATAGTGAAAAGTGAAAAGTTATGCATTTAGGGACTAACAACAAGAATTTTGCTATAAGCTCGGGACGTATCAGTTGGAAGAGGCAGAGGAGGAGAAAGACCTGGGTTGATCACATGAGCCGCCAATGTGATACGTCTGTGAAAAAGGCTAATGCAATCCTAGGATGCATCAGTCGAGGTATTTCCAGTAGAGACAGGGAAGTATTAGTACCAGTATACAAGGAACTGGTGAGACCTCATCTGGAATTGTGTATACAATTCTGGTCTCCTTTGGAGTGGGTGGGTGAAGTTCTGTGGCCTGTGATGTGCAAGAGGTCAAACTAGATGATCATGATGGTTCCTTCTGACCTTAAAGTCTATGAGTCTATAAGAGGGTGTTGCCCAAGAGTAGACAATACAGAGCAAATTAGCAGATTACCATCACCACCCATCAGATTTAGACTTTGGGAAGGATCTAAATTGTCCTTTTAAGAAGGAGTCACAATTTACTGTAATCATTCCTATAGATTACAGGGGGGAGTCGAACTAGACAGAGGTGATGTGATTTAATGGTGTTTAACGTAGCCGCGTACATGGGCGGCACATGACTCCTGCATTTGGGGAGGCTGGGTGTGAGTGCCGGAAGCTCCCTAGAAGTGGGGCAGCCCACTGGCGCCCAGACTGTGGCATTGCCCCCTGCTCTGCCTCCTCCCCTGAGGCCCTGCCCACACTCTATCCCCATTCCACCCCATACCCCACTCCCACTTGGCCCCCTCCCCCAAGTCCCCTGCCGCTCGCACCGCTCTGCCCCCTCCCTTGAGGCCCCCTCCACCTGCCGCTCCTCGGCGGGTGGGGGGAGCCTCGGGGGAGGCGGCAAAGAGGTGTGAGCAGCAGGTGGGGGGGATCCTTGCGGGAAGAGGCAGAGCAAGGGGGGGCCTCAGGGGGAGGAGGTGGAGCGGAGGTGGGAAGAGAAGAGAGTGGGCAGGGCCAGGAGGGAAAAGGACGTGCGGGAGTGGAAAACCAGAGTGCTGAGCCATTTGAGGTTTGCCTATTGCTAGTTCAAGTTTCATGACAGCTCGGAATAGTTCAGATCAGCGAGAGGAGCATTAATCTGGTGAGTATGACGTGAACTCACAGGTTACCTTGCTCACTGAGCTGATTGAGTCCTGTGCAGAATCAATCTAATGTTCCCACTGAGACAGAGAGAGTATTAGCATACAAACTCAAGAGGGGACATTGTTTGCATTTATTAACAGCTGACCCGTGACTCAAACAAGATTTGGAGAACACGGAGGGTTTTAAATTAGGGTTTGAAGATGGGAGGATTAGAGGCAGATCATAGTTAGACCAGCGGGGTTTTGTGACTATATTGTCAAGGAATGCTATTGTGATGCGGTAATCCATAATGGACAGTATCTTAAACCATTGCCAAAAAGTTGATGTTATTCTGATTAAAAGCCGTCCGGTTAGTTCATGGTGCTCTTGTAAGAATGTAAAAGAACTCAACACTCCTGTGAAAATTATGTGCCATACAGACTCTGGGGATGGAGCATTCATACCCAGAAGTCACCTGGAAGCATTCCTCTGAATTCCAATAGTAAGGTGAATGATTGGCATCCACAATGCTGCACTGTGCCACATACTTATGATATGATCAACCTTTATCGTATAATTCACTGATTTGGAAATAAAGATGGAGAACAGTTAAGGGACAGATCCAGGCAGATAAAATCATTGGTACAGACCTGCCATGAGTCCCACTAATAATAATAATTTGCATTTATGTAGCACTTAAGACTTCAAAGCCATTTCCAGACATTAACTAATTAATCTCTGCAAGGAGCTGAATGACATCCACTCCAACTGACTTCAGTGGGAATCGCAGCAGTACATATCTGATTAAAGAGCCTGCTGTGAAATTGACACATGACAAAACTTAGCCACCCCAGTGCCTTTTAGCATCCCAAAGACAGGCAGCGTTATCCCATGAAGTCGCTGTGAGGGAGGATTCTGTCCCTTTGATGTCAGCATAGAGCCCCGCCCCCATCTATGCAAATCCTGCTACTCAAGCTTTGTGGCCCCATGCCTGATAAATAATGAATAAATACAATAATTCTAATTGCTTGATTTTGCTAAGGTGATGTCACAGGTCTTATCTGCGATGGGTGAGTTTCCATTGGCACTTAGATTAGATGGGAACAAATATGAACATTCAGCCCTAGGGGAAAAGAGGATTCCGCTTTCCAGGGCTGTACTGGTCTTTGTTCCTATATTTACTTTACTGTCAGCCGAATACAGACTTTTGCATCAAACCTTGTATTCATGGTAATGTTATTTCTGTCTCTTCATTCTCTCTCCTTCAGCCTTCATCTGTGAGCGGGACCGCCTCACGTTCAGTTTTTGTCAAACCCTAAGGATTCTGGGAAGATGCCATCTTCCAACTGTCAACGTGCAGTGCTGCCGAACCTGCCGCCAGCACGGTCACAGTGCTCGGGATCGTGGGAATGAACGTGTCTCCAGGAGGTGAAACCGTTTAGGTAGAAGGACCCTTTATGGGGAGGGGGAAAAACAGAGCTGTAGAAGCTTCAAGAGAACATACATTATGCAGTGAACAAAAGGAACTCCTTAAAACTAGGTTTTGCCACATGGTCTGTTCATATAGCAGTGCAGAATGTTGCTACAAGTTCCTCCACTGGGGATTTTGTATGGTGCTCTTTAAAAACACAGGGAAGATTTTTTTTTTTTTTTTTTTTTTTTTTTTAACTACAGTACATGGTGCTCAAGTGATCAGTCTGAAAACAAGAGCCTAGCTCTCACTAGACAGCACTCAAAGCCCTGCTAGTTACCATGGAGAAATGTACTGTTTCCTAGCAAGTACCTGAAAACAGATACAATTTTCCATATCTCATGTCATGCCTAATGTTAGACAATCTTCAAGGGAACATTTTAGGAAACAAACTTAAAACAGAATAGCAAACATTTTGGGGAGATCTCTCTAAAAGATGTATGGTGCTATCATCTGACATTTTCAGCTTTTGGTTGGTGTTGGCAGGCCAGCACAAAACTCTGACCAAGTGACTTTTTATTATTATTAATTATTATTATTATTATATATAAGTGAGCATCTATCATTCCAAACAGTGTAGCTTTTGCCTTTTTTTTCCTTTTTCCTTTTTTTCTAGAGGGACTCAAAGCTGGCAACCCACTTTTGTAATGTACTTACGAATGTTTACAAATTGAAGTTAGCTCTCCATCATTTAAGAAACAGAGACAGATCAGAGTGAGCAAGGAAGAAAAATACCTGCACTAGTCATTATCACCAAGAGTATTAGGCTTGCAGATCGTGCAGTATGTCTGAGTATTCCTTACCCTTTTAATGCTGCTGCTGGTTTTCTGTGTAAAAGTGAGTGTACATATGAGTGTGTTTTGATGGAAGGTAGAGGGGTGAGGATATCAAACCATGAATGAAGAGACAAATTTAGGTTGGAGGAAAAATTACATTGTCCCCGGCATATATTTGTAAAGAGTCCAGAGTGCTATCCTAGTCTAATTCATGAACAATGTATTAAAACTGCATCTACTGCTATTTTACATTATTCCTCTGGAAGGCACGAATGACAAATTGGATTGTTAATGGCATAACTGGATTTCTGCGTGCGATTACAACACTTTGTATAAGTTTGGTGGTTAATTAAGGTTTTGTCTTTGTTTCTACAAATTTAAAAATCTTCTTTCTGCTTATATAGCTTTACTTTTGTTAAAGTTAGTTGATTCTTTTAACTAGACTGTCCAGTATTGTACAAGGAAAGGGTACATAATTATCAAGGCAGGCATTGTTCTTATCTGTCCGGGGTCCAATAGTGACTGTATGTTACTCCCTCAGTGTATTAGGAAGGACGTATTATATTGGTCCCTAGAAGAAGGTCCAAAACATTTTGATAAACCTTCATTTGTATGTTACTCTTCAGGATACAAAAAAAAAAAAAGACCAAATAATTGTAGACAGTGAATAAATTCCTACTTGCACTGAAGTAAATGGGACTTTGCTATTGATTTTAATTGAAGTAGGAGTGAGCCCAGTATCAGTTAAATGATGTTGCGCAATACAATTGTACAGTTCAGAATAAGTGAACCTTTTTAGTGCCACCCTGATTTGTACTGTACAAAGCCATTTTCAGTACAAGTGCCAAGATGACAAGGGGAATTCCTGTGTCTAATTTGTATGTAAACTGCAGCCCATCACTTTACCACCTGTATTTTGTTTCTTTCCAAGCTGATGTAAATTTTTTATATTTAAAGAGATTGTGTACGTTCTTGTTTTATTTCCCAGCAATGGTGCCGTCCTATGCATCATTTTGTTGCATTCATCAGGGCTCTAAGACTTTACTGAGAAATAGTTTCTAAGTTTGTTGTTTTTTAAATGGCTGTAGCTCACAAGTGTGTTAAATTAAACTGTTACAAAAGGAAATTTAATGATTGCAGATTTCTCTGTTCTCTCGCTGTTCAAATACTTTTTCATTAAAATCCCATAGAGAAAGTTTATGCACCATGATAGCACTGGTTGCCTGACAGCTTTCCTCTTATCTACAGCAGAAACCAACAATCAGGATGCTTCTGAAAATCCTTTGACGCTGCTGATGGAAATTATTATTAATTTTGTGATTAAAATATAAAGCATGTAGATATATGCAGATTTGGGGTAAAAATGTGAAAGTGCCTAGGTGGCTTAGGACTCTTTTTGACTTCAAAGTCACTTAGGTGCTTTTGCAAATTTTACCCCTGTGCCAGACAGGTTATTTTCCACGATAGTCCACATTTCAAAGTGGCCCAGGATGTCCAAAACACAGGCGACTAGTGTTTGGCCAATTTGCTAGTGTTGACACTTCGACGAACATAGGTATCTTACTTGGAAATCTAGATGGTCACACTCCAACAGAATCATTGCAATTCTCCTTTAAAATATATGTATTTCCATATATTTTATGAGGAAAGGAAGTTTTGATAACTGATACGACTGGTTCAGGTAATCAAGATGCTGTGAAACTGATATTTATAAGTTGCTGATGAGGAAGAGAAATCTAAAGTAAAAAAAGACAATTGTTTTCAATGGTGCACACATCCCATGCCTCTAGAAGGAACTAGTCATAATGGCTTCTTCCCAGTCATTTTGTTTTTACTTATCATGGAGAATTCTCACCTAGCTGCAGTGATCCTCCCTAACATGCGAGTTATAAAACTTGCCTTTCAACATGTGACCCTTCGTTAAATGAGCATTGGACCATCCTTTTATTTTAATTAATATGTGAGCAGATCTAGTGGCACTAGCCACATTTCATCAAGAAGACATGGCAGACTTCTGAGCTACTGAAACTCTGAGCTACTGAATTGACAAGGATGGACATTGTACAAGCAAATATTGCAACAGAAGTATTCATTCAAGTACATTTCATTCAAGCATAGTATCAAACCAATCAACACCTGCACACCAAGTTATAACAGAAGCAACTGTATACATGCTACAAAAATATTCTTACAGCACTTTCCAATTCAACATCAATGTAGAGAAAACACCACTGGGTTTTGCTACATCCTCTAATTCAGAGTGAAACCAACAGAATAAGGAGTGTTTCCAACTCTGGGTAATGTATTCTGCTGTAGGTATTCTGTTTGTGTGAGGACAGTTTGGAGCTCTCTGTCGAATCACAGATTCACTGGCATGGGGTACATATGCCTTAATTATTTGCTCTTCTTTGTTGCCTTTTGGAGGTCAGGTCGCATTCATGACAAAGCAGAGCAGAATTCTAGAAGCAATTTGGTGTCTCTTGGTACCATACGTGTGGTGCCTCTGTACCATGCACAGCTGTATATACCTTCCCTTACATAGCCTCAACCATTCAACACCTCTGTGTGCTTAACTTAGCCCAAGAACTCAGGGGCTATCCTGTAGCTATCCAGGAGGATTCAAATGCCTGAGACTAGCCTGTGCCAAGAATAGCCTTTTCACCACAAAACGATGCTTAGTGTACTAACTACATGTGCCAAACATGTCCATTACTTCCCTGAGTACGGAGCCATTGGGAACCCCTTTAGTGAGACAGTGTTAGCTGGTTGTCATAAGAACATAAGAACAGCCGTACTGGGTCAGACCAAAGGTCCATCTAGCCCAGTATCCTGTCTACCCACAGTGGCCACTGCCAGGTGCCCCAGAGGGAGTGAACCTAACAAGTAATGATCAAGTGATCTCTCTCCTGCCATCCACCTCCACCCTCTGACAAACAGAGGCTAGGGACACCATTCCTTACCCGTCCTGGCTAATGGCCATTAATGGACTTAACCACCATGAATTTATCTAGTTCTCTTTTAAACGCTGTTATAGTCCTGGCTACAAAGACCATAATGGATGTTCCTATGGCCCAAGTATTACAAAGATGATAGTTCTTTTATACTGGGAACATTTGTGCTGTGCACAAAGGCAACCACAGATCCAGATCTTGTGAAACCAATGCCTCTTTCACCCGGTCCTGTAAAAGCAAAGCGCAGTGGAAAAGACTCAAAAGCCTCTCTGAAGACTTGCTGTCATTAACACTCTGCATTGCCAGACAAGTTTGCTATACAGATATGGATGAATTTTTCGTTCATGGAAACCAGGCAGACCTGGGGAACTGGCTGGACGGTGATATAGCAGGCACTACAGAAACACTCGAGGTGTCGATGTAAAGTCATACAAATGCTTCGCTCTTGGGGAGTTTAAGCCTTTGAGGGATACAATGATGAAATGTACCTCCAACAGCAGAAGACACAGGTTACTCGTGAGAGCTTTGTGCACCAGTGCGATAACATCCTGGCAGAATTTCACAAAGCTGTTAATGTAGCAAAACTCTAACCAGCCCTGCTCTCCAGGTCACAGATGGAAGCAACGTAGGGGGAAATCAGGTGTCCCCTGGTAATCCGACACAGGACTCAGTTTGCCTTTCCAGAGAGAACCCGCTAAACAATTAGACTAGTGTTACCTCAGTGAAGGCAGCTAGAAAACACAGGGATGCAGCAGAGCCGGTGCTAGGCATAAGTAAAGTAAGCAATTGCTTAGGGCTCTGAGCAGTTCCAGGGGACCCCATATTCCCTTTTTATTATATATTGTGGGGGAAGGGCCCAAACATAGTCCTCCTTAGGGCCCTAAATGGGCTAGCACCGCCTCTGGGGAGCTGTTACTAGCTGTAAGGGTGAACACTCCCTTTGCACCACCTTCACCAGCTACAGCTGCCTGGGGACGTGAGGGAGGAGGTATGACTGTGCGCTTGGAAGCAATGTTGTTTTAGATTTCCAGTTGCACACTATGGTCCAAATTACACCTCTTCAGGCTGGAGGCGTGAGGTGGGCCGGTGCAATCCCCACGTGATGGTGGCAGGAGGCACCACACCTGTGAGAGCAATGGGCTGGTAGGATGCCACCAGGCAAGGTGGAGAAGGTGAACAGTGGCCCTTGTGATACTTCAGTTTAGAAAAAGATGCACCATGCACCCCGCCCTAGCCAAGGCCAGATTTACACCTTACGCGCCCCTAGGCACAGCACCTTCAGCACCCCTCCCCTGCCTACAGCTGACCTTTGTGTTTTCTCTAAGAAAGGAAACTTAACCCCCTTTTCACTTTTAGACGCCCCTAGAATGCCGGTGCCTGGAGGCACGTGCCGACTGTGCCTAACGGGAACTCCAGCTCGGGCCCTAG